TTCCTTCCTCCTTCCTTCCTTCCTGCCTACTTTTCTTTCTTCTCCTCCTTGTCTTCCTTTTCATTTGCAACCGAAGAATTGTAAAAAAGAGACTAGACATGACATTGATTTCCATTTGGTTTGTCGCACCTCCTCGGTGTCTCTGTAGGGACAGGGACAGACACTGATTACACCAACACGCTGTGACTCTTGGGCGCACAGCGAACGCTCCTCCGCTCCTCCGCTGAGGTCGCCTGACTCACAGATAAAGGATTAAATAGTTTCAGAATCACCAGGCTCTCGTTTTTTTTAGAATTGCCACTGTGTTTATATAAAGCGACGGGAAAAGGGGCTCGTTTTCAAATCCCTCCTTTTAGCCACGAAAAAGGAAATCAGAAAGTGGCTTACGGTGTCTACCATCTGCCCTCGGACCCACTCGTTAGCTCTGGGTGTATTAAATAACTAGAACGTAAAGCAAGGTGAGGGAGTTCCTATGGTATTTCCAAACCAAGAACTTCACTGTTGCCAAGAGCGGCAGAAGTTCCTGAACCGGCAGGCCGGCATTCCTCGGTTTCCTCTAAGAGCTGGGACTTTTCTATCCGGAGCTCGAAATGCATTATATAAGGAAGAATCCTCTGAATAAGCTAAGGGGAAGCCACAAAGGAAGCCAGCCAAGTCCTGAAATAAAAGGCAGGAATAGAAAACTAAAAATAACCCGCAGGGACCTGTGCCACATCTGTAGGGCTCCCTCGCGTTCCCGTGAAGCATTGTACCTTTTTTGGGGGTTTGTTTTCAGAGTCATATGCTAATAATTGTTTGGCGCTCTAAATAAAACACTATTATTTGTCTTTAAAAATAGTCACTTGTTTGCAGCATTGTGAGAGTTTCTAATGATGCTCACTGGATTTCAACTCGGAGCTATTGACCTTTAATGGACGGCTTTAATTTTGTCCCGAAGTCAGTTTCTAGTCACTGAAAAAGGAATATGTAAGATACATTAAATGTTTCAGTCTTGCAATAATGAATAAATGAAACCTAAAAGAAATAATGGGATTGACTTTGATAATAACACAAACGCCCATCAAGTATTGGGAAGTTCGATATAGGGCAGGCACAGTGGAGGGAGTCCACGGGCCCTATAAAGTATATAGAGAGGTTATTGCAACACTGATATAAGCCATTGCCCACACTACACATAGAGGACATGGAGGAGAAGGAAGGTTGAGCAGCTAATCTGAGGTCAGTAGTTTCCAAGTAACAGGGTGGATTCACCCTGACTCTCTCTGATGCAGAACTTCCAGGCTCTGGTCCTCCTGCACAACACTGAGGTGGTAATTGTCTTTTTAAGACATGCTAACTAACTATGCAGTTAGCACAGCACCCCAGGCAGGATGCTCAGGGCTCCTTCATCAGTCACACTAAGGCAGGTTTACAGCTAGGTTTCTAGCTAGATTCCACACATTGCTAGGTGCCACTGCCCTTTCTGATAGACCTTCTCTTCCACCTTCCAGTTCAATGGTCAGATTATTCTAACAGTGGCCTTTCTCTGAAGAGACATCCCTCGGGTAGATTTTAAGAGAATGGGTGTCTCGCTCTGAAAACTGCCCATGTAGAGGTCATCCACAGTGAGTGTTTGATGGGCACTTCCAAGTTGTTAATTCCTGTTTTCTCTAGACACAACAAAAACAGGAAATATTTACCAGCTCCCCAGGTGTCAGGAAATGGTTTGTTAAACCCTGGTGGCCTGAGCCACCTGCTTGAATCAGATAGCATAGGTGCAGAAGCGGATTGTCATTTTAAAAGTTCACTTTGCTCCAAAGACCTTTATTTGTGCTTTCTGTGGATTCTCAAAGCCTGCTTCTGGTGAGACAATATCTGCTCCAGCAGAGAGCTACACTCACTGGGATCCAAGTTCTGTTTTCACAGTTGAGTGTCCAGGTGATTAAAAACACATCTCAAAACTCTTGAAGGATCATATTCTTAATAATCAAAAATAGAGATTACCTTATTCTTTTTCCCAATTAAAATCAAGAACCTACCTGTAGAATTTTTTTTAGAAAGTACATAAAGGTGCAAAGAATAAAATAAACATCACTGATCCCTTGACTAATCCATGCATATATTTTTGCACAAAAATTAGGTATGGCATGGTGACTTGAACTTTGACGATGAATATACAACAACAGCACTCTTTGGCTTCTTAGTTTTTGCTTATGTACTTGCTTGCTTGCTTGCTTGCTTGCTTGCTTGCTTGCTTGCTTGCTTGAGATACTGTTCCTATGTAGCACATGTGAACCTCAGACTCATGACAGCCCTCCAGGTGCTGCGATTTCAGCTATCCACCACCCACCCGTGTCCACAGCAGAGCTCTTCCGCAAACTCCACTGAGTCGTCTCACTGAAATGACTGCACTCGGATCTCCTGCCTTCCAGAGCTCACTGGGAAGTCGGCGTCTATCTCTGTCATCATTCCTCATCCCTAATCCTGCTGTAGCGTGTCAGCTCTCTGTTACTGAGAGGTACCAGTCACTAAAACTTCTGTCCTGTGGTAGGTTATTGTCTTCTGACCTTCCCAGACAGCCTTCTGGAAAAAGCACCCATCTGTCACGTGGTTTTCACACCATTCAGATAGGCCTCCATCCCCTCCCCTCCATAAACACCTGAGACATTTCTGCTCAGCTGCGTCTCTGAGTGACACGTAACATGATTTCTTCAACATCTTTCTTTCTATCCATAAGAACGCATTATCTTATAACTTCCTGAGTCTCCCAATTAAAAACAATTCACTTCTGTTCTCCTTTCATGTTCTCCAACCTGTCCTTGCAAAACCCCAGGTATTCCGGTTCACATTGCATTTGCGGATCCTCTACCTCTATCTAAATAGCCATGTAACAGAAAAATAAAACAGAGTGGAAACAGAAGAGCCCTTTCAAATTGCCTTTTATAAGACATGACAGTTGAGTCAGGCTACAACAAAGCTGTCCTACAATTATTGCTTGCTTAGTGATGTTTTCAGTGTGTGTGTGTGCATGTGTGTGTATGTGTGCATGTCTGTGTGTGTCTGTGTGTGCATGTGTGTGTATGTGTGCATGTCTCTGTGTGTATGTGTGTGTATGTGTGCATGTCTGTGTGTGTCTGTGTGTGCATGTGTGTGTATGTGTGCATGTCTGTGTGTGTGTGTGTGTGTATGTGTGTGTATGATTTCATCTGTGCTGCCACGGACACCCTTCATGTCCATCCACTTCACCGATGTTTCTTAGGCTTCTAGTTTTTGCAGTCACATTGCACACTGATAGGCAAACTGGAAAGCTCTCAGGAAACCAGGCACTAACCGTGAAAGAGGGGATGTCCTCTTAAAGCTCCTGCCCTGGGAGGAACAGTAGGTAGGATGATCCTCAAATCCATCCACCTACCTATGCAGCCACCCCTCCACCCAACCCATGTATCCAGGCTTCCATTTGTCCATCTACCATTGATCTTTTCCCACACCTATCATTTATCCCTCTGAACTGGTGGCTTAGACTTCAAGTCACAGAGAAACCTGAGCCACTTTACCCCCTTAGTGAAACTTTGTTGACTTGGATGACAGTAAAGATTTTCAGTGGTTTTTACTTAAACTTAGTAAGTACATAAATACCCACTTTTCGTTTGTTTGTTTGTTGTTTTTTGGTTTTTGGTTGCTGTTGTTTTGTTTTTTTTTTGTTTTGAGTCATGGTTCTCTGTGTAGCTTTGGAGTCTGTCCTGACATTATTTCTGCACAGCAGGCTGGCCTCGAACTCACTGAGATCCACCTGCCTCTGCCTTCCAAGTGCTGGATTAAAGGCATGTGCCACCATTGCTCAGCTAAATACCCTTTTTAAATGTAACTTTCTATGTAATTCACACCTAGTTTCTACTACTTAAAGACTCAAATAAACTGGATTTTAAAAATATATGGGTGTTATTTCCCTGCTATTGTATCAATTCGCTTCAAATGCTTCTGCAACTTGTCCACAAGCTGAGTCACATGTGCCATTTTTGGGGTGTGGTACTCTTCCATGCCAAGGTTTCTCTCTTCTTCCAGGGGTACTAAAAGATCTGTCTTTGTCTTCATCTTAAAAGGTACATCTCTTTTCAAAACTGCTAGGAAATCAATGAGAATAAAATGCTATCGTTGCGTATGAGTAAGAACACAAGCAGATGAATGAACTGAGAGAAGCGGAAATGGGTTGATATCAGCAGATCTGTAACCTTCAGGCAGTTAAGAGCCAAGGGAGACAATTATTTGGGATTTCCTTAGAGAACCTGGAATTGAGAATAACAGCTGTTTCATGGAATTTTTTTTTTACCTTCAAAGAAGGAATAGAAAACAAAATAAGATAGGTGCTGAGGTTGGTATCTGAGTGACAGTGAAGGAGCCACCGCATAGCAATCAAGATTCTACCGTCCCAAGCCTAACTCCACACCTAACAGAACGTACCAAAATGTGGGGTTTGTTTTTCAATAGAAAGAGACACAGAGACAAAGTCAGAAACAGAGAGAAGTTGAAAAAGAAGAAGGAAGAGGAGGAGGAGAGGGAGGAGAAGGAAAGAAGAAGAAGGAAGAGGAGGAGGAGAGGGAGGAGAAGGAAAGAAGAAGAAGAAGGAAAAGGGAAAGGAGGAGGGGGGAGGAGGAGAAGGAAGTGGAGGAAGAAGAGGAGGGGGTAGGAGGAGGAAAGAAGTAGAAGGAAAAGGGGAGGAGAGGGAGGAAGAAGAAGAAGAAGAAGAAGAAGAAGAAGAAGAAGAAGAAGAAGAAGAAGAAGAAGAAGAAGAAGAAGAAGAAGAAGAAGAAGAAGAAGAAGAAGAGGAAGAAACAAAAATTCAGCAAAATGGACACATACATACGTTTCAGGAGGGTCATAGTCTGAGTATAGGGAAACATGAAGCAAAGACAGAAATGTTCTGTCCCCCCACACCCTCATCGTTGGTAGGAGAAACACATCTGTCCTTTAATGTGAATTAACTCTCCAATTGGTTGAGTAAAATTTGAAAGCATACCAGTCAATTGGAACAACTGTGGCATTTTTATTAAACAATAATAAACTGTTCTTCAACAAACAAAAAATCCCTAACAGCCTATTCTGTTTACATTCAGAGATCTTTTATACATTCACAACTCTGTTGGCAAACCTCAAGAGTAAAATATAAGTAAATAATGAAATAAGTCTTAAATAAGTTCTTCACTCTAAATAAAATACTTTTACAAATATTTCCCCGCATCGCCTAGTACAACAGTCCTTTTTGTGCTAAGGTTCTCCCATGTGTAATTCCAGTTCCAGTCATCTACCAAGTTTAAAAGGATAAAAAAATGAATAAACAATATCTTAAATCAATATGTTTCCTGGTGAAAAGTAACTCTCCTTTCCCAATTTATCTAAAAATTTATTTTCTGATTTAAATCTAAATTTCACCGAAGAAAAATTAGTTTTTCATTTTCCAACATTTTATAAGCCTACGGTAACTGCATGTTTATTAATATCAATGTAATCATCAGTAACAAGTTTTCCATATATGGATGTTTGAGAACCATATATGTTATACGCGTTTTTTTCCTAATCATTTTAAACAAACAACGTTAGTGTAATTTCCTTAATATATGGGGGAAAGATGGGTGTTGGAGAAATATTTAAACTAACAGATTTGCTTAGAAAAATACATAAATATTCACCTCCACCCTGTTCTATCCCCCAGGAGGCAAACTACTTCCTAGTTCTCTTAAGGCCCACAGTGACTAACCCAGTAGTGGGAGTACGTATTCATCCTTTGCCCGCCCCCACCCCCACTCTCTTCAGGTGCAGGTCCTATAATGATGGTATTTCCATTCAAGGCAGTTGCTCAGGCTCCCAGGAGCTTCCAGTATCTCACTTCCTTTAAGGCTTTTCTGGTTTTGTTTCCCCAAATTAAAACAAAATGAAAAATTTTGAGCTACCACAAGGAAGAGCCAAATGCTATAACACCCTACTCCTACTACCACCCTCATTCTCTCTCGCTCCTAACTCTCTTCAACGTGTATCTCAACAACCCAAGCCAAAGGGCCCACGGATTCTCCAGCTTTTACTTATTAACTTTTAGACCACATCAGTTGCATGTTTAGTTCCTTGGTGGTACCACACACACACACATACACACACACGCACACGCACACACACATACACACAGGCATTTAAAAGATCTATATACATTTAAATATTTAACAATATCTAAAAGTGTTCAGTCATACGTGTTTTATGGGTTGTATATTGCCTATTTTTTTTTTCTGGATCCTCTCTGAAACACACTTGATCTCCATAAATTACATGTCCATAGTCCATGCTCTAGACAGCTCTTAAAATGGTGGATGAACTTGGTCACTGAAGTGGAGCCTTCTCTTAGCAGATCTCAGGCAGGATCAGCGCGGCTTTAACCATTTCATTACCGAGGGCCGAGCAGCGTTCCCTTCAGCAATCTCCTCTCTCACCGCATTGCCGTCTCCAGACGCCACGTCACGCTCTGCAATCAGAAGGCACACCAATCGTGTCCAAACGTCCGTAAGTCAAAGATCAAGCATGGGGTTCTTTTATTCTGCTTTTTGTCTTTTAATGGAATTTAAAATAAATCTTTGATTCATTGTTCTCTGCTAACTCTACTGAATGGCCCGGAACCGCTCTTTCAGCGAAGACGACACCTTGGTAACATTCTCTCTATATACCACCATCATCTTCTGGTGTGTACGTGTAGCTGCCCTCTCCCCAACATCATCTCACTCTATTCCTGGAATCCCAGCATAATAAAAGCAGGATGTTCTTTCATTTGTTGCTTCTTCCCCTTGCTCACCTGTATCCCTAACGTGGACAGCAATTCTAGGAACACAATAAATACTTAATACACGTCCCAGTGAGTGATCAATCACTGCAAGAATCAATCTCTTTAAAAGATTTTTATATTCACTAGCATTAAAAAAAAAAAAACTTTTTTGGTATAGTCTGAAGGCAGCTATCCTTCCTGCTCTTCATACAAGAAAGGTTTATAAGATTTAGAATCTGCTTCTAAGAGGACAAGACACGCTTGTGTCCACAATGTACATCCTGAAATAGAATGGCGCAAGATTAGTTGTGACTTGGCAGATAAATGGTTACTGGGCATTCTCATGCCTCACCCAGCTCACTTAAAAAAAAAAAAAGGGACTCATGGATTTCAGTTCTTGGACACTGACTGCAAAAAAAGAATAAAAATTTTCAACGGAGACAAGTAGGATCAGGAAGATCACCTGCCAAGACGACTACAGACAAATCGGCAAGTAGCAAGCTGAAGAAGACATCGTGCAATGGGAGAACCTATGATGAGGGACCAGAGAGTCAATCCATCCGTTCTCAAAGGATGGGCTCAGACGGGTTTGTACTGTGCTGTGATGGACGCCTACGGTAGAAATGAGTAGCCACGCTCTTCCCTGTGGACTCTAGCACAAAGATAGGCAAATCCCATTTAGACAAAGCACAGCCAAACAGGGCAGCCGGTCTATATTTTTCAGACATCTTTACCGCCTCTTGAACTTGAGTTTGACTAAGATTCCTTGAGTAAAAGTCTTTTAAATATCATGGATGTCAAAAAGAAAGGAAACCAACTGATTTTTTTTTTACATTTCTAAGCAAACTCTCAATACCCAGGTTTAATTGGAAATACTTTGTGTGTGTGTGTAGCGTAATATATAATGACCAACCTGTAATAGAGTACTTTTATAAGACTTTATAAGTCTAGTAGCCTAGAAGTCATCATCTGGCCTAATTCTTAAAAAGAAAAATAAAAGATAAAAAGAAGCTAAAAATGCTTGAGGTGACTAGGTAAGCGGAGAAAATAGATCTCAAATCTGTTCTGTGAACAGCTCCTTCGAAGCATTCCAGATCTGAGAGACAGCTTGGTGGTGCCCATGGACAGTTCCCAGGACCTGGGAGAATGTGAGGGAGAGGGGCACCAGGATCCTGGGCTATACTTGAAAGGTTTCTGGCACGAGATGGAAGCTGTGCTTCCACAATACTAGATACGCTGGGGATCCTAATGGATTTGTCCTCAAACGGTGCACGAAAATCACAAAAACAGATACTCAAGTCTTAAACTACAACTTTCTGTTTTGTCAAAGACTACAAAGATAAGTCACATGATTTAAACTGTTGTCTCAGTCTGCAGATTAATTGTTCATGAAGATATTCATTTTATAAGGTTTAGCATATAAGACCAGAGTTATACTTAAAACTACCAATTGACTTAAAAGCACAATCTTGGAAGAGGGTAAGAGAAGAAATAAGGACATTTGCTGAATTTCACACTTTAATTAATTTCAAGGGCAGAGGACCAGAAACATAACCCAAATAAAGTCTATTTTCCGTCTGGAGGAAGTATAGTTTATTGATATTAGCTGTTTGTGGCTAAATTTTGTGGTTTTAAGAGTGAAGTTTTTTCTTTTCTCCAAATGGCCTCTTATAATTCTGTAAAGCCGCAATGTTGTTTTCACAATTTTATTTTTAGCTATGGACAGAGGCTTATGTGAGTATTTTGTCTGCAGAAACAAGAGATCCCTCCGGAGCTGGAGTTACAGGTGGTTATAAACTGGCTAATGTGGGTGCTGGAGATCAAACTCAGGGCCTCGGAAAGAGCAATGCAGTCTATTCACCATTGAGCGACCCCTCCTCTTCCAAGAGTGAGTGCAGGGACTTCTAAATACTTAATTTTTAAACATTATATAT